TTAAATGGCATCAGAGAAGTTTTGACCAAAATGAAATGAATGAGAGATTTACCACAGACTTCAGTATAAAGGAGGATATGCCATGATGCAAATAGCACCAACAAATCAAGAATTTGTATATAATACATCCTCCCCATGATTGAAAAGCACTATTTAAAAGAAGGTCTTCATGGTTTAATGGGTATATTACTAATGTAAAGAAAAAGTACATCTATGATGCAAAGAGCAATAAGACGAAGGGGGCATTAAAAAAGTCATTATCATACTGCTAATGAAATAATTTCAGATCTTAAAGAGTGCTAAAAAAACCTTCCTACACTCCAACTAAAATGACCATAGTTTTCTTTAAAAGTTCAGTTATTATTGAATAATTCAAACCATGTGTTTCATATAATATGCTCTTCCCTCTAAAGAAAATGTCTTTCACCTGGTCCTCATCAAACAGCACTCCATGCTGCATATTTATCCTCTTCATTAAATCTCCACCATCACAGTATTCCATCACAATATATAGGTTGTTATTTTCTGAAAGGAAAAGCATAATTTTGCCTTCATTCCTGAATTATTCATTAACACAGCAACAATTTATTTTTACAGTCCTTCTTTCCAAAGGTAACAGTTAACCTCTACCTACTCCTCCAAATGGATGCTTCCAGTGAAACCTGATGCAAAAATTAGATGTGAAAGTATATTTAAATGGAGATTCAGCAAAATACTAAACACATTAGGAAATCCACAAGAGACCCCACTGACAGTTGTTCTAACAGAAAACTTAGCAGAATGCTTCAAAGGTCAGGTTTTTTGCCAATAACTAAGTATGCAGTAAGGCTTAGGGAAAAAGTTAAAGGTAGACAATATTCCAAAAAGCAAAAATAAACAGCAGGGCCTGCTTAACAGAAAAATTCAACCTATTCTTACCTCTCTGGGGTTAGAAGACTATCTGATTTACATGTCCCCTAAAACATTTACAGTCCTGGTCACAGAGAACAATTTGAACAGAAGCTGCAACTATAGCTTTTATGACATAAAGCACTGCTTATGGCAGATGCCAGAGAAAAAATAAATACAGGGAATTAGCTTTCATGGTGAATAGAATTCCTTTTATCTCTTTCAGGCCTGAAGAATTCTTTATCCTTGAGTGACGATTCAAAATACATCTGAAGAAAAAAGGCCAGCACAGCATTATGAGATTGATACTGGATCACTGGAAAGACAGTCCTATATCAAGGCATGAAATGCCAATACTGTTTTTACATTCCAGATGCTGAAAGATATTTTCAGATGGACTAACAGATTGCATTTCTATTTAATGGCCTCTTTTTGTGCTTGCCTGTTTTGTCTGTGTGTATGTGTATGCATACATAAGTATGTGAATATGTGTGCATGCATATATGATGTATGTATCATAATCATATAATGTCATATATATGTTATGCGGATAAACAAAACATGAGGAACCCAAGGTTAGATCAGATGAAATGATTACTCTATTTCTTGCCTATTTCATCAGCCTTTTGTCCTATTTGATCAGCCTATTCCTTGCTATAATCAAAAGCTCTCTTCTATTGAAACTCCTAGAAAATCCCCAATAAACTCTGGACTCCCATAAAAAATCAAGACTAAAGTTCAACTTGGACAGTAGAGACACCTCAGGATCTAGGATTCATGCCAAGTACCCACTCACACATGTGAAAAACGCAAGTGATGCCTGAATTTGATGCTTCGTGTCATTTCTTGGAGTTGAGAGCTTTTCCCATGTTTAAGTAAGGCATTAGGGGCAGGGCTAAGGGTGGCCAACACTAACAAGGTAGGTTTTCTGCCTTCCACTCCTTTCACCACAATTAAAACAGAAATGTTGAAAGTCAACCTTGCAAAGAAGCATAGAAGGTTACAATGTTTGCATGCTTCATCTTGGCCAGCAGAATTACTTCTTTCTTAGAGGCTTCTTTTTCTTTCACAGGCATCTACAAAGAATTAAGAAAGTAAATGCTAGCAATGGTATATGTAACCGTTTTCAAAAATAGTTACATCATTACCAAACTATTCCCACTAATACAAAATACCATGTACCAAGACAATGTAGAAATATTATAAAATATGATGTATCTATAACATTTAAAAAGATTTGCAGTGTATGTTTGAAAATATATTGGAACATTGCTAAAGTCAAACACAATTTCAGCATTTTACAAACAGGCAAATGTATGCCTCTAAACAAGTTAAAGAATTTAAACTCTAAAGTTAAAGAATTCCTTTAAGAATTTGAAGACTATGGATGTAGATGACTCTGTAATGCTAATACGGATGATGTCAAAAGATCAAAGAAAAAGAAGGAAAAAATCCTTCATTTTACTGCTATGTTACAAATGTTCTTGTAACATTTCAGGCAAGCTCCTTGCCCTGCTACATTAATGGAAAACTACTATTTAGTTTATTATGATGGTATTTCAATCAGTACTACCTAAAAATTAATTTCTCTGAGTGTCTATCCTTCAAAATGTCCTCTTGTAATGTATTGTAACCCTCATTCTTAAGAAATATTTTTGAAATGTAATCCTTAAAGATTCAAAAATCAGAAACTGAATAAAACACACTCTACAATATTAAAAAGAAAAATTGTTTGACGCCAAAGTAGCAATTTTCTGTCTCCAGCTTCTGATTCTTGAACAAGTGGGGTTCACAGTAACATTTCATTAAAAGCCATTCTTCTAGTTGTACATCAAAATCTAAGATTAGAAATGCATGGGCTTTATTGGTCACAAGCAGAGAGAGAAGTTATTCATTTTTTCATTTAGCTGTCATTACTCATGTATCAGCTTTTCCAAGTTTGAATCTGGAAGACATAAGCCCTTTCTAGAACTCATTCTTCTACTGTAATTGTCTAATATATTAGAAATTCACTGGGGTGGCCCAGAATAGCAACAGACCTGTCAAAAGCATGTAGGCACTCATTGAAATTGACTGTTAAAACCCCTGTATTGAAATCACTGAGATTTTAAATGCCTTTATGGAACCAGATCCAGCTGTAGTATTCCCCCAACACTCTAAGGTGCCTCTGCAGTCAGTGGGAAGGAAGGCAGAAGTTTCAAATGAGCTCGTTCTAAATCAGAAATTGAAACCACATGTGATCAACAGGTTCCTTAAAAGACTTAATTATCTTGTTCTCCTTGTAAGGGTATCTGGGCAAGCAGCTCAATTGCTGACAGCAACAGAATAGAAACTTAAAATCAGACAAGATTAATTGAACTGCCATAAACATAAATAAGAATTGGAAAGACTCCATTGTGAATTACTCATGAGCAAAAATATGGATGTAGGAAACAAGGAAATTAAAAAGCTTAGAGAAATTTACCACAGAATTGTGATTTGCTACTTTAGTGGCAATATTTTCATTGCAGTTGAATCAACTATTACAGAATTTGAATTAGGCAGTGCCACACATTGTAGGCAGAAAGATGCTTTGAAAAGGAAAAAAATACAGTAAAAGGCAAAGACTTTTATCAAAAGATCAAAATATGTGTATTTCATCTATGCTTTTAAAATAATAAATTTGCAAAGGAGACAGTCTTTGGAAAGCTTAGCCCTATATAATTGAGATGGAACTACAAAGGAGAAAAAAAATAACCTACGTTCATACCCACCTAAATGCAAGTAGCACAGTCTGGTAAATATAATTCAGGTTTTGTTGTTTTACCTTAGTTAAATTGATCTCTTTGATAACACATGGCTCATTATCCGTTTTTCCTTTTGCCAAGAATATTTTGCCAAACGATCCTTCTCCAATTTGTTTAATGAGTTCGTATTTATCCATGATGTATTTTTCTTACAGCAGCGGCTAAAATAAAAATTCCCCACATTAGTACTGCACATAGTACTTTAACATCTGAGTTGGTTCTACTGAAATAGGCACTACTTTTTAGGACTGTCATTTTTATTACTTTTTATAACATTACTGCTGTTGATTCTTCCTAAAAATATCATGTCCTGGAAGTATGCAAATTATTGCAGATTTTAACTTTTAATAAGCAGAAAGTTTATGAGTGTCTCATAAAGAAAAACATAGTGTACCCTAAAGTTAATGCATGGGAAGGCAGTACAGAGTACTGTGTAGGATTATAAAAAGTAGAAGTAAGGAAGTACAGAGTACTGTGTATGATTTTATTAAATGCGTCATTATTTTGTGAATGGAACAATACTGTGTAATTGATCTTTTAATGGAAAAAATATATTCCATATTGATTTAGTTAATACTAGCGTGATCTAAAGTTGTCCGTTGGATCACACTAGTACAGTGTGATCACACTAGTACAGCCAGATCTCACAAAATGAGACGTGTGATGGCCAAGTGAAGTCGGCCATCAGCGGTAGCATGGAAACCTCTGTGAGGAGCACTGAAGTCACTGGGTACTTGCACTGGTTCCACTGGCAAACCTGCACACTTAAATACGAGCAAACACTACAAAACTGTTCTTATTAGTTATCCTGAACTTTAGCAAGGGAGATTTGCTCCGATACCAGACGTTCCCCGCCAGGCAAGCTCTGCAACAGGCTCCATCGCTGGCAGCCTCCGAGGGCCAGCGGCAGGGCCAGCAGGGCGACCCTGGGACGTCTGGGATTTCGGTGTCTGGGTCCGAGCCAGCTCCTGTCGGCAGCCACAGGTGAGAAGCGGCACTGGGGACAGATGCCCGGGCAGGGGACAGGGATGTGCTCCGCCCGGGCTCAGCCCACACCCACAGGGGACAGCCCGGCCTCCCGCCGCCCCGGAGGGCAGCGCCGGGCACAGGGGCTCCGGGGAGGGCGGCGGGGCCAGCCCGGGCAGCGGCGCCTGCCCCGAGCGCCGCGGCGGACCGGGCGCGGACGGGCCGCCCGCGGGGATGCAGCGCTGCGGGCCCGCGTCCCCATGGCGACGGGACGCGCCGGCCGCCAGCCCTCGCCGGGGCCTGCCCTGCGGGCCTGCTCGGCCCGGCCCGGCCCGGCCCGGCCCGGCTCGACTCGGCCTGGCTCGGTTCGGCCGCCCCAGCCCCGGTAGCGGCCGGGGGCGGCGGGGGGACGCCGTACCTGCGAGCGCTCAGCCGCCTCAGGAGCGCGCCCGGCCGCGGGAGGAGCCGCCCCGCTCCCGCCCCGCCGGAGGAGTGGCGTTTGCTGCGCCCTTCGGGAGCGGCAGCAGCCCCGTTTGCCGGACACGAACCGCCCCTCCCTCCACGGACACACACTTGTGGTTTGCCTATAGGGGAGGTGATGTATGAACTGGCTCTACACCAGAACTACAGATTTCCTAAAGCTTTCCTTGTATATTATTCCTAATATTATTTATTACAGGGACATAGTCCGGGACAGCTTCCCCAGGAGAACTCTGCCAAGAGCAATTGTGCACTCTCTTGCCACATCTTTCTTGTAAAGTGTCTATTTATTACCCAGTAACCAGAACAGAGCCCAGACTTGACATTGCTCATAGCGCTCTCTGAAGCAAGAGCGTATCTCTGATCAAAGTCAGAAAATTTGTCCTTATTCATGAATACATTTTCATCCTTTCACACATGCAGTGCCATATTAAAAACTCTTTTCACTGAATCAAGGCAAAAGTTCAGTCTCAAAGAATTTTCAGGGGATTAATAATTGCACGAACTAAAGCCTCAACTATTTATCATAGCTAAATGTTTCCCATGCCTTTCAAGGATCATTTATACATGTATTGGGTTTGTGTGGCAGGGTTTCGGTAGCCGAGAGGAGCTACAGGGGTGGCACCTGCCAGAAGCTTCCCACATTTGACAGAGCCAATGCCAGACAGTTCCAAGACAGACCCACCCATGTGTCCCCGTCCATGCCCCCTCTCTCCCCTTCTCTGATCTGTTATCCCAGAGGCACCACCACCATCACTGATGGGCTCGGCCTTGACCAGTGAAATTGAGTGAAATTGAAGTGAAATTGAGTCCAGGAAGAAGGGACGGTGGGAGAAAGGCATTCTTAGATTTGGGCTTATGTTTCATTACTCTGCTCTGATTTGATTGGCAATAAATAAATTTCCTCAAGTCAAGTCTGTTTTGCCTGTGACAGTAATTGGTGAGTGATCCCTCTGTGTACTTATCTTGACCCATGAGCCTTTCATTACATTTTCTTTCCCCTGACCAGCTGAGGAGGGGAGTAACAGAGAAGCTTCGGTGGCACTTGCTACCCAGCATCAACCCCCCCACCACAATGCTGCATTTCATTATGTACATTTACACCTTCTCAGAGTGCTACACCATCTCCTTGAAATAAGAAAAGAGAACAATTTGAACAATGCCATCATTTGACAGAACATTTCTGCAAAGCTGTTACCAATTCCAAACATATTTAATATATGGACTTGTTTAACTATCTGCAAGTGCTCTTTCTAAAAAAGTTTACTGTGCATTTTCCATCCTCAGTTTGTGATACAGAAAACATTCCCACTCTGTTTTTGGGTTTTTTTTGACTGAAAATATTTAATGAATAACCAGTTATTAATAACAACTTGGATACCAGCACACCTAACTTCACTCATTGCAGGTAAATTCAGGTTTTCAGTCACTCTGTTTCAATACCATTTGCAGTTCTGACACCCAGTCTGGGTCATCTTCCTCAAAGTCCCTAAAAATAAATTTCAAAAAATGTTATTTTGAGAAGCAAAATACAACTTTATAAATCTTTAATTGCTTTTTGCCCCCCCCCCAAAAATATCCTGTAATTAGGATAAATTATGTTAAAAATATCAGCACAAGAGACTTACTTCCTGCCCCACTGTGATTAAAGAACCAATATGGTTCTTTATGATTCTCTATGGAATTTACAAAAGTAAGTTTCATCAAAAGCAAAGACAAATTAATATATTAAGAGACTGCAAATGTGTTGGTAATTGACAGCCTGCAGCTGAACTGCAGCAATACAGGCCTAGGTAGTCATCTCTAGATGCCCCAAAAATAAACAGTGACACAAACTGAGATTCTGAGAATCTGAGAACCACCCCCAAAACATACACACATCCAAAAATCACAGCATTTTTGTTCATACATTGTAAGATATCAAATGCTACTAAATTTCAATTTCATTATGTAAGAGAGGGGTGAATTTAGATGCTGAGAAAAATACTGGGTTTTTTTTTTCAGGGGAATGATGTTATGGAAAAATCTCTTTGAGAAACCAAAGAAAACATAAATGCAAGGACATTGCTTGGACTTACGTGTCATCTTCATCAGATCTAGGTTCAAGTCTCTCAGAATCTATGACAACAGCTTCATTCTCACCATCTACTTCATCAGATTCTCCGCATTCATCAGAAAGTGGACCTCTTAATATGTTTTCAGAAACTTTGAAAATATAAAAATTAAAACGCCATCAAAATATTTTAATTTTTAAAGTAAAACTATTAAGAGTATGAATACAAAATAGTCAAATTCATCCCCAGTTTGTAGCAGATTCCAGGATAAGTTGTTACCTGTTTTAGGTGGGAAGATAAACTAGTAAGGCAACTGATGTGCAGAGCAAGTATTTGTGACTGTGGCTGTGCACATCTGTAGACTGTCCTCAGCTGTGCCATCTGACCATCCTGCCCTCAAACCGGGGCACGACTGCCTTAGAGAGGGGGGATTTAGCTGATGGGGTTACAGTGCATTTCCTGCATCTCCCTAACACACACACCACACAGATCAGTGGGAGGGAGCACATAGCAGGCGTCTGTGTTTTGTCACGACCTCATTCAGCTGTTGAGCTGCAAGTGAAAGTCCATCATGAAGAGCTGTAGTGGAGATGTACAATCACTCATGAATTCCAAACCTGGCTTTTTAAAGTCCACGTTTCATTTGGTAAACTTAAAAAAACCCAAAATCTAGCCTGTTGTGATATGAACTCAGGTGTGTGATCTGTATACAGAGGAGCTATGTATGAAAAAAAAGAAGAAAAAGCCTTTATTAATAAACCTGTTTGCAAAAATGTTTGTCCAGAAAATGGGGATTTACCTGGTGTATAAATTGTGTATGTTTTAAATGCTAAGCTGACATCTGCATTGCTGAGCATGTCCATCAGGGTCTGAGGGGGTTCCTTGTTCCACTGCTTCCGTGGCCTATTTTCACTGTAGTTTATAACACCACCACCTGGGTATACAATCATTCATGAATTTACAGAATTTACAGAAAATTGCATTAGCAGTGTGGATTACATTCAAGGTCACATTCAAGAGACACATGAGAAACAGGAAGAAACAGGAAAAAAAGAGTCTAGATAACTCCATCTGTCACACCACTGTCCTCCTAACAAACTGAGGAAACAGTGGAATCTTCTTGTGGCCAGGAAGCCCACAGGAATTGGTTGAGGGATGAGGAATCAGAGTCTCAGCAAGCTTATGTGGTGGATCTGCAAGTCTCAAAATGAAGCCTGAGGCTGTTTCTGTGCCTTTTAATAGCAGAACACTTAAACACATGCACTCCCCTTGCCCTGTGCATAACTATCACATAACATTCCCACCACAGCTTGGGAATTTTCTGACTACTCATATCTTGATTATTTATTTCCACAGCCATTTATTCATATTTACCTAGAACACATCTCCAGAATCACATTAAATAATTATAACAATTGCATCAGTGAGGGGTATTTTAAAATTGAAACCTTTCTCAGGTTTAAGTGTTTTAATCAAAAGAAACAAAAGTCTCTGCCTCACATCTGAGGTACATCATTGATAGTTCTTGTCACTGGCCTTAACCTGTATGTTAAATCACAACAAAAGTAGAGGTGTAGAAGTTTTATGCTCCCAATAGTATGCTGTACTTGAAAGACAGATGGCTGCATTCTGCACCAAATGAATTCCTCACTGCTACCTCCACAAATGATGTATTAAAAAGAGGACTGTAGGATAATTCCTTAGTGATGATTATAATTTTAGGGTTGCTAATGTTATCTGTCAGTTTCATCACTCTTTGCAATCTTCCTGTCACACAAAAACACAAAGAAATTCTCTTCAGCATGGTGAACTTTTTGATGGTTTGTTAATGAAATATTTTAAAATTATTTTAACATAATTTTAAACATGCTTTGTGAAGTTTGGCTTTTAAGATCTGTAAAGAATCACTGACATTACCTGAATTAAAAGCACATTAAATTAAATCTTACTTTCAGTCTCTTCAGGTGTAAAACTGGAAGAAAGCAAGGACGCATTTTCCAGGACATCCAGCACAGTACAGGATATCCTCTTTTCCCATTGCCTCCTTTGGGCGTGTGACAGATCAGTACTTCCTGGCAGGACAGCAGAAGCTGATACTACAATTGTAACAAAAAAACTCCATGATAACCAGCATCTAACTTGATTCCATGTCCAGACTGCCCTGTCCAAGCAAAGCAGTACTAAGAATCACTTAACTAGCAGTGATGTTTGATTCTATGGGTGCAAATTTCAACTAGAAGGTGTTCTCCATACATTTACTCTATTCCAAATGTTTTCAAAGTAGTTTTTTATTACTTTGACAGGAGAATTTTTAGTTTTCTTTTTTAATCTCAGATAAGCAGTATGAATCAAAGTACTTGCAGAAGGAACTGATGGTGGCATGGTTTTCTTGTCTTGAGTTAGCTAAAACTAGTTTGAGCCACCTATTTAAATGGCTGCATCACTGACATGTAGATAACAGTATACAGAAGGACATGCATCAGCCTTAAAACTGTAAAACTTACCTTCTTGACAAGATTTCCTTTGTTCCCTTGTGCCTTCACTTAAACCCTTAGCATTTTTCCTTTCTAAGGGGCTATGATTGCTACTTTCATCTTTCCTTCGCTTTAAAAGAGTAAAGACTGTATTAATTATTATCCTTGTTTCAAGGAAGACAAAGCAGTCATATTAACATGGCATTAATTATTTCAGTTTTGCTATAAAATACCTGGCCCAAAGATTGGAAGGTTTGAAAACTAAACCACTAACATTGTGAAGCCAACTGCAATTGCACACTACCTGTTACTGCACTGTATTTCACACTGAGTGCCCAAGACAGACAACCTCAGATTCTGAAGCTAAGCACATAGGTAGTTATTTGATGTAATTTGTCATTTGGGGTTATTTTACATTTAAGAACACAAACAATATAAATTATTTACATTCCCAAGCAAAACAAGATGCACCAAAATATAAACTTCTCAGATGGACAGGTCTATGAAAAGAAAATAAAATGAGCTCCTCCAAGGCAACATGCTTTTTAAAAATATACTGAATATGGCTGAGTCAGGCTATGGTAATGTACCCATAGGGGATATCTTGCCCACCTGTGACTTAATTCTTCACTCCTGAAATCTCATATGTGCCCTAAAACATGGTGAGAACTATGTCCAGACTAGATAGTTTCCACAGCAGCCAGTTCTGAATGTGTCCCAAAAGCAAAGAAAATGGATAATCCTTTGCGATAATAAAAAAAAAAATAAAAATAGAAAGACAAGTTTTTTTTTGTTTGGGTTTTGTTTTGACAGGGTTATAAAATAACCCATTTTGGAACTAAACTAAACATGGGAAGAATCAAAAAGTTGGCATGGTGGGAAACACAGGAAAACTGCAATTTGAACACTAATAGGCTGATTTATGGTTTAGCATAGAATAATATTCTGTAAAAACTTTTCTATAATACAGAATCTTGTAAATTACTAAAATACAAATGTTTTATTTATATTTGAATACTTACTCTATTTTCTGTCTTATTGTTTGAGCTTCCACCAGCCATGACATGACCTGACACATTAACAAACAAGAGTTAATGCAAGAGTTAACACCTTTAGCAAACATTTATAGTAAAGTGGTATTCCAGAGGTGTAACAGCAATGCTTCTGAACTAAGCAATGACAATTATGTGACAGCTTCTTCACACTTCTGACAACATAGTTCATTCTCAACAGAGTCCTGCTACTATTCCGTTCCAAATGGGCACTAACTGTGGTGTAGCTAATTTTCTGCAGAAGAAAAAAGTCCAACATTCTCTCTAAAAATCAAATAATGAACATAACTTGCTTCACCATATTCTGGGAAAGAACGAACTATCATATTTTAAATACATGCCACTGCTAAAAGGTTTTTTTAAGCTGATTTTGAAATTGAAAAGTTTATTTCTAGCACAAGTCTTAAGACTTACAATACATATATTGCAGCTTTGCACTCTACTTATGGTGGAATATAATTTACACCCTTCAAGCATTTTTCCATGTAAGTTGAGTAATATTAGATTTTGAAATAATTAAAAGTAGATTTGGACATATAATGCTAATGTTTCATAGCTGTATTTAAGATCTTATATTTCTTACTAATTTTTTTGTTCCTTACATCAACAAAAATGTTACTGACTTTACCCTTTTGTCTTGCTCCATTGCCTTCAGGTTTCTTGGTTTCCTTTAATATCTGCTCAAACTCATTTGCAATCTGAAATGTGTAAGAAGAGATGCAAGTACTGTATAGTTTTAAACTTCTTCAAATTATTGCATATACTATTTGTTAAAAATAGACTCATTATACAAGTGCACTGCTCCAGCTAAAAATATCTAATTTTATTAGCATCACGTCAATATTTAACTTTAATTTTCAAAAGGACACTTATAAAAATTCAGGTTTTCTGATAAGTTTACAACTGTATGAATTTTAGAGTAGGACATACACAACATTATATTTTACAGTTTTACACTAACAAACTACAAATTAAAAGGATTTAGTATCCAAAATGTAGATAGTATTGCTTAAATCTAGAGACAAAGAATACACAATACCTCAGAAGGCAAACAATTTTTCACACGTTTGGTTAGGCAACTTCTTGCAAGAATAGTACTGGCTGATGGACGATTCTGGGGATTTCTCTTAAACATCTGTTTTATTAAGTAATGAAGCTCATAGGAATAGTGAGATGGAAGTGGATCGTAGGACCCTTTGCATATCTTAAGGATGAGATGTTTCCAGCTGTTGGCTTGAAACTGCATTAAAAATAAATTCATATTAGAGCACAGAGTTCAAGCATAAGGTAAAAAATAGCTGACATAATTTAAGATAACTTCTACAACTGAAAAGCAGATAGGAATTACTCCTATAAATTTATTATTGAATTTCATTTATACACAAATCAAATTCATCAGTTCATATACTTGAGATCAGACTCAAACTGCAAGAGTGAAACAATAAGTTTGAAAATATGAAGACTTTGATCAAAAAAAATCATCAAAAATAGCCTGTAAAGATACAAATACCCTCTTGCAAATCTAATGTCTGAGAACTTCTAGCTCCCATGCAGGAAGTTTCCTTTGATGACACCCCACTGGCTTGGCTGCAGGGTGCCAAGCACCCATGGAGCATCATGTTTTTGTATCAACTCTGATAGATTATGCAAGAACATACGTGACCATCACATCAAACCAGACACATAACTTTTCAACACTGCTAGTAAGAATACTCCCTCCTTGGAATCCCAGCTCTGAGTTCTGCCTCACTGTGACACTGCCAAAGATTTGCCACAGATCTACTTAGGCTAACACATCTCTATGCACAGGCACCCTCATCACCCAGTGACATCAATGTAAGCTTCTACACTCTTGCACAGTTAGCACTTGCAGCTGTGGAGAACCTTTTGTTGGTACATAGGATGTGAACAATGCTCTCAGACATATGTGTCATTGTTGAGCCTGTCTTTTGCAGGGTCAGGAGCTGGGACTTTGGTGATACTTGTGGGTCCTTTCCAGCTCAGAATATTCTGTGATTCTCTAATTTCAAGATACAGTATTAGCTCAATGAAAGGAAACGGCTGCTTATAAAAAACTAAAACAAAATGACTCTAAGTTAGGATCTCATTTTCCTGCAAAACAAACATATCCTAACAAGGGCTCTCATTTTACCTTCATGTCTGTACAGAGAAGCCAGAGGATGTTAACACATAAGAAACACAGCAACAACACTGTAAAAGACAGTGTCCCAGAAATGACAGAAAGACAGAATCATTCATCAAGGTCCCCAACTGTTACAACAGAAGATGGTGCTTGGACAGTGATTTGTTTGATTTGAAGAATAAGCAAAGGTGTATCTCTGATGCAAGCTACAAAAATGCTTATTGCTTACTACATTTTTCTATGCTATA